TACTTTTGCTAATTATAGACACATTTTCAATGGGTGTGGTTTTGTTTAACTGGTCTCCCAGCCAAAGCAAGAGGCAGAAAAGGAGATGAGAGTTGAAGGAAGCACTCTGACCATCAGGTGACACCTGACAACCAGGCAGCGAGTAAATAAACCGAAAACCCTGTAAGAAGCAGATGTAAGAATGCAGTACGAGTATCACGGGTGCAAATACTCCCAGAAGAAATGCATGATACAAAAGTGACGTTTAGAATGGTGGCCCCGAATTATTGAGCAAAGTTTAATATGTACAGGTTCTTCTTAAAAGACTGTGTGTGAGACACTTTAGAGCCTATCTAGAATACATTTTAGTATGTTTTCTCCGAAAAATTTTAAAATGGAAACAGTATTGGAACTTGAACATAGAAACTTCAGTTTGCTGAACTGTTATTTCATGGGGGTATCACTGAATTTAGAACTTTAAAATGTCAGCTTTTTAAAAAGTATAATTTTATGGTTTTTGTTAGGAGTTTTCACTAAACAAGTTCAAGAAATACAGTTTTAGGACAAATATACAACTCCTCAAATAGCATATTTTAAAGTACATGCACTGCACATGTTTTTAGTATAAATCCCATCTTAATCACCAAAAATATGTGATAATTTTCTGTGTCAATCCCCTACTTAAACTCTCCCATGAAAATCTGGAGCTTATATTGGACTTCAGCATTCACTGGAAATCAACTTTGAATTTATTTAAAATAACACAGAACAACGGTGGTCTTAAATATACTGATCTGAGGGTCCAACAGAGTAACAAGATTTTTTGAAAATAAAAATATCAGCTTGCTATCTAAAGTAGCATATCTTTATCACAATACTACAGCCTGTTTTTGGCATTCCAGTGGCTTTAATTCATTCAGGAGAGCTCTGTTCATTTTTATCCCCTGTAAAAGGCTTTGCCAAGCCATGTCCTTCCCAAGGTCTCCAATGGTAATTATCTTCATGGAGAGGTCAAAAACTGACCCTGTAACATGGCTAGAAACAGGCAAAGCATCCTTCAGCATAACTTTTGAACAGATCTCAGGTGACAAGTAGTAACCAAAGTTACGGCCTATATTCTCAGGTGCAGAGAGCTAAATGAAAAATAGTTTCACAATGAGAGGAACTAGAAGTCCAGTCATATTTACATAGCTGTAGTTTCTAGTGTCTTGAAAATGCACTTACGTTTAACTCTTTGAGGAGAAGTGAGGACATACATCAATTCAATACAAAGTTTGCTGATAAATATACATACTTAAAATTAACTGGAAGAATTCTATACTCATGACAGCATTATTAACAAGTCATATTTGTCTTAAATTGGAAAATCATATACTCTGCAAAGTAATTTAGCTGAAATTTCATCACTGCAGATATAGAAAGCCTCCTTAGTGAATTATGACGAGTCTTTCTATTCATTAAAATAGATCAGTGACCAAAATATTTTAGATGCAATATTACTTTGCATTTGTGTTGTAACTTTATCTCATTATCATGTTAGCAGATAGACATTTGGACTAAATAACTGTCTTATACAATCTGGTCCAACCCTAAAGTTTTCTACTTTATTGTACCAGAATTGTACAGATGCTGAAACACTTTATTTTCTGCTGATTTCCTCTGAGTCTTTTTTTTTTGCTCATAAAACTGATATTAGTACAATAATGACAATAAAATGTAGCCCAAAGTAGTTAAAATGTTTCCCCCATTTTTTTCTGGTTTAGATTAACATACTACTTTTCTAAAGTTTAATAAATTAACAGTGCTCAAAACTCCTAGGGTTTTTAAGGTCAATTTTTATTTGTTTTTATGGTTTATTCATTGAGTTTTATGAACGCTGCCCAGTCCACTTCAGCTTACTTCGTCTGGGATGCTGCAGTGGGAAACAGTTCACTGACTGAAGAACAGAACAGTGCAGGCTCCATGTAGCTGTGACCTTGAGAAGCTACCAATATCACCGGGCTTCTCTTTCCTCCTCTTATAAAATTTAGGCAACTGGGCAGCTGATCTGAAGTTCCTTCCTGCTCTATATTCTGTCACTGCAGTTTGCATGCCACAAAGTCAGCAGAGGGAGCACTTTTTCTACATCTTGTAAATTTTGACTATCATTTAAACACCTTTCAAAATTGAGAACACTCTTGAAACTAAAAAAATTGACAGTGCTTCACTCCGTTTCTGTGTAATCAGTGATCTGATGGTAAATTTGAGGAAAGTCTAGGAATTATTTCTTGACTTCCACGGTAAAATCCCACAACACAATTATTTTGTAAAAGTTAAGCCAGTAAACTCATAGAAATTCAAGCACCCTTGTATGGCAGTGTATTTAACTGTGACCCCCAATTCAAAATAAAACACCAGACTGTGAAGGAGAGGCTATCCGATGTCACAAAAGAAAAGTGACCTCATCAATCATAAAACCATTAGTAAATTGGATCTAGCATAAACAAACCACACAAGTGATTGGAAGTTTTTCTTTGCACTTTTCATTAAGATACATTGGAAACAAGCAGGTAGACATAGCCAGAGCTGGAAGGCTTGCACGAGATTGGAAGCGTGTGATATCAGCCCAATGACAAAGAAGGCGTTTATCTGAGACCCTTAGCAACTTCACCCTCATAGGCATAGATATCTTAAAGCTACTTGAGCAGACATTATATTTGTTTAAGTATTAGACAATCTCATAGCGTATATAAAGTTTTTATTCCTTAGTAAGAATTTTAAAATCACAAAATAGTGTGGCAATATTTAGGCAATAGAATTTATGGAGTGCTGAAAATACTAGAATATAAAGATAATTTTCTAGTTTTATCTTCACATACTAAACTTTTCTAAACCAGCTGGTTTCTTGCAGACAGTATTTATTTATTTTTAATAATTTAAGACAGCATAAGCTTGTACCAAGCATAAGCATTGTAACAAAAGTGCAACGTTTCAGCAAATCCTCCCCGAAAGATATTTTAACTCAAAATATCATTAGCACATATTTTCTCCCTACAAAAATAGCATGTCAGACATCATTAATTGGATGTATTAACAACTATGTACATAAAAGCCACCTTGTAGGCTAAGAGTTTAACGTTGTTTAAACACAGCGTTTGAGGCAAACAGTAGCAACCGCAGCAGCAAATGCACCACACTGACTAAAAGACCCAGATATTTTCTTCACTCACAGTCTGTTGTGTCTCACCCCTTACATAACATTCAAGTGAGATTTCTCACAGTGCTACCTTGGCAACAAACTAAAAATATCTAGACAAGGTCTTGGTTTAAGCCTTATTTAAAAAGCTTTCTTGGTGATTATCTGGTATCTGGTTTGGTCTCCAGAAAATACATAGACTTGGGGATAGAAGGCCGCACAGGGCTTCGTTCCACATCTGTACAGCTTTCCTCATCAAAACTGACCAGCTAAATATTTTCTTCCACTTTTATGACCTAACAAGAGTAAGTCAGTCAGGATTAATCAGTTTGGACTTTGTTTTCTTATTTTAAGTTCAGTGCACTTTTTTTTTTTTTACAGTAAGTTTATAAAAATTTGGGAACATGACGGATTAAACAATGAATGGGAAGAGATGCGTTTCAGATAGATATATACTATATATAATATATATGTGAACCAAGAAATTAAGACAAGTCAATTGATTTATGGTCAATTTCTCCATAAAGTGCGAGCAAAGGTAGGAAGAATGATTTCGGCCTTTTTCATTGAACTCAGCCTCCGTTCCCTGCCTTAGTGCTTAGGACGGCCCAGCTCTGTGTCTTCTTGAAAATAGTGCAAGTTACTAAAAGATAGCATTTCAGCCACTTCAGAATAGGTCCCACTGGGGGCAACCACACCTTCCCTTCTCTGAAAAATATATGCCTTCAGCAAAGCTGACCATTACGCAGTACAGAAGAGTGAATCAATTCTCAGAGATCTTCAAACCTGTCAGTGGACCGCCTTCTAAGCCAGGCAGGGCAGGGCTGCTCTGAGCCGGGGCTCCGAGCACCACTACCTGCTGTTTCCTGCGGGAGCGCCTTTCCAAGGAGCTCGCCCGCAGAGCTGCCACCTTCCTGACTTCCTCTAGGATTAGGCTCCACATTTTAAGAAGCGATGGAACGTGGCCTAAAAGGAGGCAGAAACTTGTCTGGGGTGGGGGGAGGTTAAAGAAAAAAGAAAAGAACCATTATCTACTGCAGAGGATGCTTTACAGCTGGGGCGGGGGAAGGATATTAGTGTGCGAGGGAGGGGTGGTGAGAGATGATGAGCAAAAACGGGAACTCCAAATGTACACAAAACACCTGTTTTTTTTTCTCTTACGCCTGTCGTGCATCTATTATGCTTCCTCCCTTAGAAACGTTGAGGGTGTTTTAACTTATTAATATTATTATTCCGCCGGGCCTCCGTCCTTCCTAAGGAAGGGGCGCAGGACTCAGGGGGCGTCCTTTCCCGGCTGCGAGGCATCTTCCTGAGCAGAGCTCTCCGGGTTCCCCGGCTCGCGGGGGCCGGCGAAGGGCAGGTGGGTGCGGCCGTGCGCGGGCGCGGGGTGCAGCGCCCCGG